ATTAAGATTATTCAATCAAAAATTAAAGTGACAAAATTATACAATTATTATATTTAAGGGACCAAAAATGTTATTAAATTATTTCATTTATTACTACAAGAAAAATGCAAATTATCGATGGATAATTTCTGACGAATACAAATCTAACGAAAAATTTATATTTTCGATAGATTTTATCAACGAAAAAAAACTTCGTAGAAAAATTTATATTACCGATGGATAATTTTCGACGGATACAAATCTATCGAAAAATTTATATTTCTAATGGATTTTATCGATGGATAATTTTTTACGGATACAAATCTATCAAAAAATTTATATTTTTGACGGATACAAATCTATCGAAAAATTATATTTTCGATGTGTGAGACCCCTATCTTTTCTTTTTCCATTCCACCCTTCCCCACTCTAACTCTCTTTCACTCTTACTCACTTTCCTACCCTTGCTGCGTTGGTTCCGTTTTTCCTGGATTCTTGGGTGTAGGTGCTGATTTGGTGTTAGAAGCTAGTTGAAGTTCTCATTCCTCCGTTGTTCTTCGTTCAAGCTTCATTTCTTCTCGTTCTTCTTTGTCTTCTCGTCCCGGAGCTCGGATTTCTTCTACCGAGGTAAGGGAAGCTAGTTACCTTGCTGTTTTTGGTTGGGAATGAGTCTTAGATACTCATTTGCTGCTTGTTGATGGATGATCTTGGGCTGAGATTGCTGAAAAATTATCAATTGGGGTTTTCGGGTTTTGTGGGGTTTTGAAGAAATTTTGGGTTTTTCTTGTTTTATGGTTGCATGTGAAAAAGGTTGGTGTTTTTGAATTCTTGGTTGAAAATGTGGTACTTTGGCTGGAATGCATGTGGTTTTTCTGTTGATTCTCGCAGGGTTTTTGGCAAAATTTTGAACTTGGATGGGTTGCTAATGAGCCTTGCGCTGAGCGCGGTTCTTCGCACCGGGCGCGAGACCACCTGGGGGCTTCCTTTTGACAATCCCGTCGGGCGCAAAGATGTGTGCGCCGGGCGAGCTTGAGAAGGTGAGCCTCTAGTTGGCCCACGTCGGGCGGGTCAGGAATCGTGCCGAGCGCGCAGGCAACATTTTGGGTGGTGGTTCTACGCTGAGCGCGACCCTGGTTACGCTGAGCGCGAGACTCCTTGGGAGTCTTTGCCAAGAGGGCGCTGGGCGCAATTCAAATTGCGCTGGGCGCGAGACCAAGGGGAGGTCTCTGCCTTTCCCGCGCTAGGCGTGGGTCCAGGCACGCTGGGCGTGTGGGACTCCATGGAGTCTCTGCCTGGCAAGCGCTGGGCGCAATTTTCAATTGCGCCAGGCGCGTGAGGGGCCATGCCGGGCGCGAGCAGTCTTGCGCTGGGCGTGTTGGCCCCTGATGCTCTCTGTTTGAGCTACGCTGGGCGCGACCTTGGTTGCGCTGGGCGCGTAGAAGAATGTTGAATTGATATGCTTTTATTCGTTAAACTTTGCCGAAAATGATGATTATGCTGTGCTGAATAGATGTTAATGCTGCGCTGAGCTGGCTGCTATTGATGAATTTAAATGTTGTATTATATGATTTTGCTGTGCTCTAGAATGATGAGCTGAGGTGTGAGTAGTAGGCTGTGTTGAATACTACCTAGCTGTGTTGTAAGCTGTTTTGATGTGTTGTGCTGTATAATTTCGGAGCTGTATGTTGTTCTAGCCGCTATGTCGG